CTGCACTCCAGCCTGGGCAACAGAGTGAGACTCCAACTCAAAAAAAAAAAAAGAGAGAGACAGAAAGAAAAAAGAAAAGCTAACTGTCAGAATACCCAGGTGGAAAGTCCTGCGGAAAAGAGAGCCTAAGCCCAAATCATGGTAGAGTTTCTATAGCAATGAAGTGAACTGGGGCCACTGATGTCTTCAGAGGAGCTGGTGCAAATGTCAATGTATTCGTGTGGTGTGGGTGAGTTTAGCTGCCACAGATACAAAGGAGAAATGAGTGAAAGCAGTGTCACGGAAAGTAAAACAAGATAAGGAGATAATAAGGAGGCTTCACATAGTTCTCTCTCCAGTGGTTTGACTGTGAGTTAAAAAGTCCACTCTGGGCTGGGCGTGAAGGCTCATGCCTTATAATTCCAGCACCTTGGGAGGCCAAGGCGAGAGAATTGCCTAAACCTACGAGTTCGAGACCAGCCTGGGCAACTTGGTGAGACCTCATCTCTACAACAAATCAAAAATTAGTGTGTGGTGGCACACACATGTGGTTCCGGCTACTTGGAAGGCTGAAGCGAAAGGATCACCTTAGCAGGTCGAGGCTGCAGTGGCTGTGAGTGTGCCACTGCACTCCAGCCTGGGCAACAGAGACTCCGACTCTAAATAAATAAATAAATAAATAATATTTTTTATAAAAACCCCACTGTGGTTCCGTGCCTATAACTTGAGGAGCGATTAAGAAAAGAAACATGTATCCTATCTAAGGAATCAAGACTGTCCACTTGAAGGTTAGGGAGCCATGGTTGGATAGGATCCCCGATGCTTGCATAAATGTTGTGAAAAGTAATACAATAATTAAAGAGGTGTAAAATATTGGCATCAGCAGAAGCGCCAGCAAGACAACAAAATCTAAAGAGTATCACCAACCTGTTCAGGGTTCACATGACAAAACATAGAAATCTTCTCCTTCACAGCCATCTCGATGGGCGTAGAACTTCGGCAGACAATCTGTCAAAGTCAATTATGCATGTCAGCAAGCAAGATACCATATTCATTTTTTTTTTCTTACTACAAGAGACTTGACCGAGTATGTACTATTCACTCCAGGCATTCCACTGAACTATTAGAAATTGATCTGAGGTTTAGGAGTGGTGGCTCATGCCTGTAATCCCAGCACTTTGGCAGGCTGAAGCAGGAGGCTCACTTGAGCCCAGGGGTTTGAGACAAGCCTGGGCAACATGGCAACAAGACTTTGTCTCTACAAAAAATTTAAAAATTAGCCCGGCGTGGTAGCATGCATCTGTAGTCCCAGCTCCTGGGGAGGCTCAGGCAGAAGGATCACCTAAGCCCAAGAGGTCAAGGTTGCAGTGAGCTGTAATTGTGCCACTGCACTCCAACCTGGGTGACAGATTGTGACCCTGACTCAAAAAAAGAAAATGAAAAGAAACTGATCTGAGCACTAAGATAAGCAAGTATAATCAAATACAGCACAAATCTGAACTCGAAGCTTCAAAATGTCACTGGTGAACAGAGTCAAGGATCACTTAATTAACTACAAAATAAGAGCTAGATTACTTTGGGAGGCCGAGGTGAGATAATTGCTTGAACCCATGGGTTTGAGATCAGCCTAGGCAACTTGGCGAGATCTCATCTCTACAATAAATCAAAAAATTAGCTGGGCATGGTGGCACATGCCTGTAGTCCCAGCTACTTGGAAGGCTGAGGCAGAAGGATCACCTGAGCTCAGCAGGTCAAGGCTGCGGTGGCCATGAGTATGCCACTGCACTCCAGCCCGGGCTACAGAGTGAGACTCTGACTCAAAGAAAAAAAAAAATAGAGCTAGATTAGGGGCTGATAAACTCTTTCTTGAAAGGGCCAAATGGGAAATATTTTCGGTTTGCAGGTCATGCAGTCACTGTCCCGATCCTCAACTGTGTCACTGCACACTGCAGTGTGCAAGCAACTACAGATAATATGTAGGCAAATGGGTGTGACTGAGTGTCAATAAAACTGTATTTACAGCCGGGCTCGGTGGCTTAGCCTGTAATCCCGTGCCTTTGGGAGGCTGAGGTGAATGGATTGCCTGAGCCCGCGGGTTTGAGACCCGCCTGGGCAGCAAGACCTCATCTCTACAATAAATCAAAAAATTAGCCGGGCGTGGTAGCGCATGCCTGTAATTCCGGCTACTTGGAAGGCTGAGGCAGAAGGATCGCCGGAGCCCAGCAGGTCGAGGCTGTGGTGGCTGGGAGCGGCCACTGCACTCCAGGCTGGGCAACAGAGTGAGATTCCAACTCAAAAAAAAAAAAACAAAAAACTGCATTTACAAAAACAGGCAGCTGATCTGCAGGCCCTTATTTGCTGACCCCTGATTTAGACTACTGGGGATGACTGAATCACCTGCTATAAGGACACAGTGCTATTATTCAAACTAAAAATAAGACAAGGAATAACCCACCCTAGCAGGGTCACAGGAAAACCCCAAGGTCCCGCCTTCACTCTAAAGGATCCAGAAATCATATAAATGACAGGTCATCGCATTTACCCAGCTATCAATGTGGCCCATCAAATGATGGTTTGGGACAGAACAGATAGCCAATTTCAGCAACATTTGAAGATAAGGGAATAAGCCTTTCCTGGCTCTCAGATACAAAAAGCTCATTGTCATTGGAGCAATTTGAAAGCTACAAAGGATTTAGATAATGTTATAGATTAGGAAGTGGAGGTCGCCCCCAAATAGACCTTCAAGATAAACTTACCCACTGTATTCAACTCACCAGATCTGGGGACAGACCTAAACCTCTCAGAGCACGGACACTGTTTTGTGTGGGTTTGGTTTTCTGTTCTCCGGTAGCACTGGGCTAAAAAAAAAAGGTGTCCTGTCAGCACATGGGACATTAGTTCTGAATAATTAATGTCACTCCAGTTACATAACTTATCAAAGTTTCTGCCCACATACTTAACTGGAAAACCCACCTGTGGGACAAGGCTGACGTGGATATTACAGAAATTCTCTAGTTTTGCCTTAAATTGGAATTGTCTGAATGCTTCCACAAATGGCATTCCTTCGATGTCTCCAATGGTGCCTCCCAGCTGGGAATGGGGAAAAAAAAAAGACACAAATGATCAGCCTCTTCCATGATACACAAACTAATATAAAGCTTTTTTTTGTTTGTTTTGTTTTGTTTTTGTTTGGTTTTTTTGAGTTGGAGTCTCACTCTGTCACCCAGACTGGAGTGCAGTGGCCACTCCTGGCCACTGCAGCCTCAACCTGCTGGGCTCCGGTGATCCTTCCGCCTCAGCCTTCCGAGTGGCCGGAATTACAGGCATGCGCTACCATGCCCGGCTGTTTTTTTGGTTTTTTTGATTTATTGTAGAGATGAGGTCTTGCCAAGTTGCCCAGGTGGGTCTCGAACCCATGGGCTCAGGCAATCCACTCACCTCGGCCTCCCAAGGCGCAGGATTACAGGCTGAGCCACTGAGCCAGGCCAGCTTTTTTTTTTTTTTTTTAAGACAGAGACAGGGTCTCACTCTATTGTCCAGGCTGGAGTACAGTGTCACGATCATAGCTCACTGCAGCCTCAAACTCTTGGCTTCAAACAATCCTCCCTCCTTAGCCTCCCGAGTAGTGGGAACTACAGGCATTCACCACCACACCTGGCTAATTTTTAAAAAATTTTTGTAGAAATGGGGTCTCACCATGCTGCACAGGTTGATCCCAAACTCCTAGCCTCGAGCGATCCTCCAGTCTCAGCCTCTCAAGAATAAAAAGAATTCTTAATAAAGCAAGCATAAGAACTGAACTTTGATGGTTGTACAAGAACAGAAGTTTGTTTTGTACACTTAAAACAGGTGAAATTGCCGATATATAAACTAGACCTCAATAAAGCTGTTAAAAAGTAAAAAGAAAATTACTGTACATTCAAGAGGGAGATGAAGTGAAGGGAGAGAAAATAGAAACTAGAAAGTAAAATGAGAAGAAAGGGCTAAAATGTCGTATAGCCAGGTAACCAGTCAGCAAGCAAAGCTGAATAGCAGGAAGGGAGAAGAAAGCCAGGTTGAGGAGGGCTTGAAAGATCCAGAACAAAACCACAGAGGAGCAAGACAAGCTAATTTCCACCAGTGGTCACAGTAGGAAGGTAGAACTCATTTCCAGTAGTATGAGAGTGGTTAAGAACCACCTGACCCTGCCTGGATGGAAATACTGAGCATTCTCAATCTCTCTCTCTCTCTCTCTCTCTCTCTCTCTCTCCACACACACGCACCCACATGCATTTGCAGTCTCCTTGCAATGTTGGTACTACTAGAATTAAATCACTATTATTAAAACATGCTGGCTTTCTGAAACAAATAGTACCAAACTCCCCATGAATATACCTGATGGTGTAACCTGTCAATAAATGTCAACTTAACTTACAATGGGCTTCCAATAAAACCACTTAAGCATTTTACTTGAGACCAGGCTAAAATTCACCTTAACCCATTCATCCTCGCCATATTTAAATACTTAAAGACTATCACACGGGGTACAAAGGTAATTCTCTAGCATGTGAGCATCTACTTCAAGTAAGGTGCCGGGAAGAAGCTAAAACAACATGCTCCTGAGGAACTCAGAGAGAGGAAAACAAGATAGAGTTAAAGAACAATAATTAAGAGTAAAAACTGGCCAGGTGCAGTGACTCAAGCCTGTAATCTCAGCACTTTGGGAGACCAGGACGAGAGGATTGCCTGAGCCCAGGGGTTTGAGACCAGCCTAGGCAACTTGGTAAGCCCTCATCTCTACAATAAATAAATAAATAAATTAGCCAGGTGTGGTGGCGCACACCTGTAGTTCCAGTTAATTGAAAGGCTGAGGCGAAAGAATCGCCTGAGCCCAGCAAGTCAAGGCTGCAGTGGCCATGAGTGTGCCACTGCACTCCAGCTTGGGCAACAGAGTAAGACTCCAACTCAAAAAAAAAAAAAAGTCAAAACTGGCCAGGTGCAGTGGTTCATGCCTATAATCCCAACACTTTGAAAGGTCAATACGGAAGGATCCCTTGAGGCCAGGAATTCAAGACCAGTCTGGGCAACATAATGAACACCACCCCCAAACCCGTTTCTACAAAATTGTTTTTAAAAATTATCCAGGTGTGGTGGCACGTGCCTATAGTCTCAGCTATTCAGGAAGCTGAGGAGGATCGCTTGAGCATAGGAGGCTGCAGAGAGCTATGATTGCACTGCTGCACTCCAGCCTGGGTGTCAGAGTAAGACCCTACCTCTAAAAAAAAAAGAGTAAAACATAAGTGCAAAGTGGAATGATCTGCACGTTGGGGGAGAAAGAATCATAGTGGACCCAGTTCCAAAATTCACCATTTTCTCTGACTTTAGCTACCTGAATGGATCAAAACCTACTTCTAGTCCTGCCCTTTCTTCCCAGCACCACTGACCTTGGGAGTGGGTGGCCAAGAACTAGGGTGGCCATGTTCTTGTCCCCTAACCCCAGGGCCTGTTATCTCGGCGCTTCCTCATCTCAGCAAATAGCACCTCTTCCTCTAACTGGTTCAAGCCAGAAGTCTAGACATCATCCTCCATCCCCATCCTTTTTCTCACCCAACCCAGCCCAGTGAGTGTCATACCTCAAAAACTTCTGCAAATATCTCCACAGCTACCACCCTAGACACCTGGCCAACATCATCTTTACTGGAATAATTGTAATAATCTAAACCAGGGGTGGTAAATTATGGCCCTCTGCCTGTTTTTATAAGTCAGGTTTTACTGGCACAGAGGTATGCCCATTTGTTTCCATATTGTTTATCACAATGGCAGAGTTGAGTGGTTGAGACCCACAAAGCCAACATATTTACTATCTGGCCCTTTGCAGAAAACGTTTGTGGACCCCCAATTTAAATGGTCTCTCAGCTTCCACCCTCACTTGTTCTACCATCTAACCATTTGTCTCACACCAGCAGAGTGACCTTTGAAAAATTCACAATAGGTCTCACCCACACTTATACCCTTCAGTGACCTTCACTAAAAATAACATGGCAACTCCTTAACGCAGTCCACAAAGCCCCTCATGACCTGGCCCTCATGCGAGTCTCTGATCTTGTCTGGGGCCTCCCTCCACTACCTTCAATTGCTTCAGCCCACTGACATCTCAGGTGCTCAGGTGAGCCATGCTTTTGCTTCCTGCCCCTCAAGCCCCCTTACCCTCTTTTTGATCTAGAGCGATCTCTCTCTATCCTTCAGCCTAGGGAGAGATGCACCCTCCTCAGAAAGACTAACCTTGACCACCCACCTCACCTCAAGTAGCCTATCTGTACCTGTCACGGCACACTGTCTGTGCCTGACCTAGGAAAATAGCACAAGTTGGTCGGGCTCGGTGGCTCAGCCTGTAATCCCAGAGCTTTGGGAGGCTGAGGTGAGTGAATTGTCTGAGCCCGTAGGTTCGAGACCCACCTGGGCAACTTGGAGAGGCCTCATCTCTATAATAAATCAAAAGTTAGCCGGGCGTGGTAGCGCGCGCCTGTAGTTCCAGCTCCTTGGAAGGCTGAAGCAGAAGGATTATCGGAGCCCAGCAGGTCGAGGCTGCAGTGGCTGGGGGGGGG